ATAACAAACAATAATGTCTTATTTTTCACTTGTATGAATATTCACACAATCACACAAATCATCCTGTTATTCGTCGATTGCCTCAAGCAGGCCCCAGTAACGTCTCCTTCATTCTAGCCTTGATATTATATTCAAGGCTCTTTAGGAGAATGAGACCCATCATTGTTACTGGTATTTGGCATATTGGGTATGCCACGGGGAGTTTGCCGGACTCTGCCGTGTGGGCAGGCTACATTCAGTAGCCTGCCAGTTTGTCCAAAGTAGGAATGAGATAATAAGATGTCATAATAAGATGTCGCGCGGCCGCAAATGCGGCCGTGTGGTTCCAGGAGCTGGTTTTTATAGTCTCTGACCTCCAGCCAAAGACCCCCAGGACCAGTATGAATATTAATGTAGACATTCAGGAAATTATCAAAAATTCCTAGAATTCTGATATATCCTGATACAATGTCACTAAGTGTAGTTCTTATTATTATTTTGAAATCGTTTATGCCACAGAAATAACCAGATTCTTCTTTCAATTGCACTGAACTTAATTCTCATAATATATTTGCTCTGGGATATTCTTACATTTTTATGAGTCTTAACCAGTGGGTAACTAGGTTCTGTAGCACTGTAGCACTGTCCTCCCGTTGTTCATCAATTTGCTCAAGAGGGCCCAGTAACGTCTCCTTAGTGAGACTTCTTGTTACTGTGTTTGGCATATTGAGTACGTCACGGGGAGCTTGCCAGGCTTTGCCGTGCGGGTGAGATACTCTCGGTAGCTTGTCGGGCTCTCCGAGAGGGGTGGAGGAATCGAACCCAGCTCGGCTGGGCCGGCCGCTTGCAAGGCAAATGTCTTACCGCTGTGTTCATTCCTGGTAATACTCAGTCCTATTGTGCAGCTTAGCAGTTCAATCCTTCAGTGCTCAAGGGGTGTCAGGGATCTAACAGAGGGCCTGCCATATTCTAGACATGTGATTCACTATTTGAGTGATATCACCAAATCTTTATTCTTGTTCTTTCTTAAGCCTCTTGTCATTTATAAGTTTATTTTATCATGTGTTTCTGAGAAAGTACACCATCTTCAATTGGATTCACATAAAGGATTTGAACAAATGCTCTAAGATATAGGCCTCTTATCACTTTAATAGTCATAAAACTGAGCTAGACTTGAGATTTTTTTCTCTTAAGTTTTATGAGTTACAAGAGTTTGGCAAATTATACTAGTGTAGACAAAGATGAAATATTTACTCTTTCTCTTTACTCAATTCCTCTATAACTATTGGAATAACTCCAAGAAGGATGCAATATTCCATGGGATAAAACTGAAGCTCTGGACTGGGTAAGTACTCAGAGATGAACATTTGCTTTGCACGAGGGAGGAACAGTCTCCATTCCCCTTGATCCTTTTCATATTAATGGGAGCAAACCCTGAGCACTGAGCCAGGAGAAGTGCTCAAACGCTGCTGGTGTCTTTCCCCACATTCACAACAAAAAATAAAACAGAAATATGGACACTTGGAAAATATGGTGCAAATTTATCAGGATACTCTGCCTAACTAGTCAGGATACTCTGCCTGACTAGGGCGCCCGGCCACCTGCGATGTAGAAAGCCAATTATTGCCATTCTAGATTTTCAAGAAAAACATAGGCTTTTTATTATATTCCGATGTAATGCAAGCAGAATAAGGTTTAGATTAATCACCACATCCTTTTGTTCAGAGATATTATGAAAGTTAAAGAAGAAAAAGAAACTGCTTTTTTCATAATATTTTAAATGAATTAAAAAACCATGATTTAAAAAAGTTATTGATAGTTGAGTTTTAGGCATATAATATTTCTTTCTTTTTTAAATTTAATCACCTTGAGATACAGTTACAAACTTTCATGTTTTTGTTATAATCATACAATGCTCAAACACTCATCCCTCCACCAGTGCACATTCCCCACCACCAATCTCCCCAGTATACCCCTCATTTCCTACCCTCTCCCTACCTTAATGGCAGAAAATTTCCCCCAAACTCTCTCTCCACTTTTGGCCATTATGGTTTACAATACAGATACTGAGAGGTTATCATGTTTGGTCCTTTAGCTACTTTCAGCACACATCTCCCATCCTGATAAATCCCCCCAACCATCATTTTCTTAGTGATCCCTCCTCTATCCTAGCTGCCTTCTCCCCCACCTCATGAAGCAGGCTTCCAAATATGGAGAAATCTTCCTGGCCCTTGTCTCTACTGTCCTTGGGTATCAGTCTCCTATTATGTTATTTTATACTCCACAAATGAGTACAGTCCTTCTATGTCTGTCCCTCTCTTTCTGATTCACTTCACTTAGCATGATATTTTCAATGTCTATCTACATATAAGCAAATTTCATTACTTCATCTCTCTTAACAGCTGCATAGTGTTCCATTGTGTAGATGTACCAAAGTTTCTTTAACCAATTGTCTGTTCTTGGGCACTGGGGTTGTTTCCAGATTCTGGCTATTGTGAGCAGTGCTGCAATGAACATATAGTTGTAGATTTCACTTCTACTGTGCTTTTTTGTACCCTCAGGATATATTCCCAGAGGTGGTATTGTGGGGTCATATGGATGCTCAATTTCTAATTTTTAAAGGAATGTTCATATTGTTTTCCAGAAAGTCTGGACTAGTGGGAATTCCCACCAACAGTGAAAGAGCAACCCTTTTCCCCCACATCCACGCCAGCATTGGTTGCATTTCTTCTTTTGAATGTGTGCCAGTCTCTGTGGTATGAGATGATATCTCATTGTTGTTTTGATTTGCATCTCCCTGATGATTAGCTATGTGGAGCATTTTTTCATGTGCCTTTTGGCCATTTGTATCTCTTTTTGGAGGATGCTTCTGTTTATTTCTTCTCCCCATTTTTGGATGGGGTTGGAGGATTTTCTCTTGTGCAATTCCATTTATATATCCTGAATATCAATCCTTTAGCAGATACATTTGGGCAAATATTCTTTCCCATTCTGTGGGCCCTCTCTATATTTTGGCCACTGTTTCTTTTGATTTGCAAAAAATTCTTAGTTTGATGTGGCTGCTGAGGACAGACTCCGTGAGCTCCAAGATGAAGTCCAGAGACTCTCAAGAAAAGAGCAAAAATGTAAAAGAGACTCACAGTCAACAAACAGATGTCAAGAGAAAATCGGGATGAAGCCAAGAGGAGTAACTGAGGAATAATTGGAGCCCCAGAGAGACAGGAAGGAATATAATATTTCAACACCAATCTCACCATCAGTGGTTAACAAACTTCTATCTGTTCTCGAAAGACAGGAGGTAGGTTTCAGGATAAAAAGGATTTTGAGACCATCATGTCATCTGGCATGCCAGATGATATGTGTGTATGTGTTCATTTGTTTATTGTGCTTCCAGAGAATGGAGTCATACAAGATGCTTCACCATCGTGTCACAGCCTGACCCTGCATAATATTGCTTCTGTGTATTTCTTTCTTGTATACGTCTTAAATTCTGCTGATTGCCAGCAGAAAAAATGGAGCCATCTGAATATTGTTCTTTTTCTTCTTTGAAAATTCAGTTTTAACAAATTTGTGCCAGTGTGAAAATGTTTGTACAAACATGAAAAATGTTTGTACGAAGTGCTAGAGAGAATCATCATTTTTCATCTAACTCAATATATCATTGTTAAGTATCTGGGATTAAAGGTTTCAAGTATTTTTAATGTCAGGGTAATAAAACCCTTTTCTCCTTTATAAGTATTACAGGTAAAATGCAATCTACAAATCAGATTTAAAGTTGCTGATATGATTATTCTTACTGTACTTTAATCTTACCATACCTTCATGTCAGGACAAGTATGTTGAAACTTGACTTTGTTTGCCAATGATTAATTGTACTGATTAGCACAGCGGGTAGGGCGTTCGCCTTACAAGCGGCCAGCATGGCCGACCCGAGTTCGATTCCTCCGCCCCTCTTGGAGAGCCCGGCAAGCTACTGAGAATATTCGATATGCCAGACATAGTAACAACAGTCTCCAATGGAGACGTTACTGGGCCCGCTCGAGCAAATTGATGATCAACGGGAGGGCCTTTACCTTTTTACCTTTACCTATCCTTAATAAATAATAATATATTTTTTCAAAATTTCAGCTTTTACATTAATAACTTTTAGAGAAATAATGATTTTTTTACATTGTAGATATTAGATTCTAATTCTATTGATTCTATTGTTTGGGGTGTTTTTAAAGTTTTATAAATTGGAGAGGATTCTGAAGTTTTCTAATTTTATCAAATAACTCACTCTGACTCTCCAAACTATCATTTCCAACTTTGCCACACCCTCCTGATTTGGCATAACCACTATATTACCCAAGTAATAGCCACACTTTAGAGGATTGAAATTTGGGTGCATATTTTGCAGTTCTGTAAGGTTCCACCTTGCTCTAGTCCTGTATGGGACCAGATCAGGAAACAGGTCAACAGAAAGAGAAGGGACTGTGATCCATCAATAGCTTCCACCCCAACCAGGAAGATCAAGACTTCAGGCTTGAATCTCCTTTTTTGTCTCCTTCTGGACTTGGAAAGACAGTGAGTCCAATTCCCTCAGGTCATTGGGGGTGGGGTGGGGGTGGAGGTAGAGGGTCGGACGAGAACCCCTCAAACTGATGGAGTTGCCACTGTGTTGATTCCAACCTTTTGTCCATCACAAATGTTTTGATTTCAAGTACTTCTATTTCTCTGGAACAAATTCAGTTCTTCTTTCTAACCCTGGGGGTCATTTTTTAAATATTTCTTTAACAACTCAAGCACAAGGGAAACTTGCATCTAGTCTATACAAAGAACACAAGGCCAGGGTAAATGGCATTCAGCCACCTGTGACTTTTGCAGGCTCAGACTTGAACATATTCCTAGAATGTGCTGTTAAAACATTACTTCCCAAAGAAAAATATTTGTATTCTCCATCCACAGTTATCATCAGCCTTGGTTGTATTTTAGCTAAGCAAACAGGAGTCCTTGTTATAAACCATACCACATGCAAACACTGGATTAACACTTCTGCAAGAATGAACCTCAGTTTCAGAATTTCCATGTATAAGTCATTGGCTTAAAAATGTCAATTCTTGGGCTAGAGAGATCTTAAAGAAACAAGAGCAAAGTTCAAAGCAACATGTCTAAGGATGTTTTCTGGCTTTCTGGTTAAAAACTTTAGTTCTGGAAGCTCTAGATATTTGAGAAATGGCAAGGACCTAGGATATAATTTTTGTTTCTGTGAATATTACAGGGATCCCTTCAATTGGATCAGAATCCAAGAGAACCCTTGATAATAGTTCTGCTATTTTTATATGCCTTGTCGCAAAGGAAAATAAAAAGCAGAACACATCAGAAATACCCATCCAATAAATCTATAGAGATATGATTCTTGCTGTTCTCCCTGTTCTTTATCTCTGATTATTCACCCTTCTCCTTCCCTGTCTTAACGCCTTTTCTACTCTTACCTAAACATCAAGCCATATAATTTAGTTTAGTGGCTTTAGTGACTCTCTCATGTAACTTCTGCCTGGGTCAACAGGACATGGGGATTTCTAGAAAATTGCTACCAGTAATTCTCTTAAACAGCAGGGAGAAACAAAATGGAAGGACAGTCACACCCTTAGTTCTAGGGAGGGCTGTGCCATGCTCTCAGTTCCAGTTGCAGATATGCCTCTATGTTACTACTTGAGTTTGTGCCTTAGCCCTGCCTAGAATACTCTTCAGGGAGAGCTAAATGAAATTTATATGGTCCCTCCTTTCAACTTCCAGTCCAGAGGACTGCTGCTGCCTTTCTGCTATTCTCTGTTTTACAACACCTTGGTGGCTGGTGAAGAAAAAGGACCAAAAAATGGACAGACAGAATGGGGGCAGAGCTCCATGTGCACTGAGTCCCTTACCAGAGGGAGTCAGTCAGTTCAGTCTTTCTTTGGCTTCCATAATATTTCATAATTATGTAAATCTGTAGATAATAAAACTTGTTGGTCCTGGAGATCTTCGGCTGCTGGAGCCCTGGTCGGGGTGGGGAGGAAAGCTCAACCCGCTCCCCTCCAAGGGGCTCCGGCGAGGAACAGCCAGGCGCGGGGGCAGAAGACTGCCATTACAGAAGACTGTAATCCCATCAACGCCCAAGACTCAGAGACTATAAAATCCAGCTCCCGGACGAGACCAGTGCACCTCCATGATGAGACCACTCTCTGCACACATGAAGGTACTGGCAGAGGGACAAAGCCACGCGGGTTCCGGGGCTGAGATCTCCAAGCCTACTCGGATTGGAGTCGAGCATCCTCCACCCAGATCCTCCAAATTCCAGTAGGCGGGGGTCACACCCACCACCTGGCCCCCTGGCACCGTGTAATCCCATCAACGGCCAAGACTCAGAGACTATAAAATCCAGCTCCCGGAACTGCGCAGCTGCATTTGCGGCCGCACAACATCTTATCAAGACATCTTTTTATGACATCTTATTATCTCATTCCTACTTTGGACAAACTTGCAGGCTATCGAATGTAGCCTGCCCACAGGGCAGAGTCTGGCAAACTCCCCGTGGCGTACCAAATATGCCAAATACCAGTAACAATGATGGGTCTCATTCTCCTAAAGAGCCTTGAATATAATCTCAGGGCTAGGATGAAAGAGACGTTACTGGGGCCTGCTCGAGGCAATCGACGAATAACAGGATGATGAAATGAAATGAAAATGAAATAAAACTTGTATCCTTTGGTGAAGTGGTTGTTGAGTTCAAGGGTTCTCCATATACCATTAAAAATACTTGAACCAAGTGAGAGGTGGGTTCAAGCAAAAAGGCCCATACATAGGTAGTGAGAAAAAATTCACTTTATTAGCTAAGTGATTGGAGGTGCTGGGGGACTTTAGTTGGCAGCCATGGTCTCCTCAATCCAGTCCACGAAGTTGCACACACGGGTGTAGACTCCGGGCTTGTTCTTCTGGGCACAGCCATAGCCCCAGGACACGACTCCCTGGAGCTCACCATTGCACACCACGGGGCCACCAGAGTCACCCTGGGAGGAAGAGGGACCAGTTAATAAAGAGACAACCTCGCAGGAAGAATCCTCAAAGCCCTTTGGCTTAGTTCTGGGACTCATCCGATGACATGCCACACAGAATAGCTTGCCCTCCCTTCAGGGGACACGCTCGGAATCCTCCTCTGCCACCCGAGACTGGAGTACACAGTCCTCTCCCAGTGAGTGTGCAGTAAAGGAGAGCGGGGAAGGGGAAGTACCTGGCAGGAGTCCTTGCCTCCCTCCAGGAAGCCAGCGCAGACCATGTTGTCTGTGATCTGTCCAGGGTAGGAAGCCTCACACTGCTCCTGGCTCAGCAGGGGAGCAATCAGGCACTGCAGCAGTTCAGGGTTGTTGACTGGAGGGGCGGGGGAGGGGGGGCAGGAAGAGATGGAAGAGGAATTGCATGAGGCTAGTACTGCAGGAACTAGCTCTGAGAACACCAAAAGGCCTTGAAAAGATGAGCCCCAGCAAGGAACAATGAACTGGTGCTCCACAATAAACAAACACTTGATGACCCCTTGCAGGAGAAGATCATGCAAAAACTGTGTCTTGACTTTAGGATCAATTCACCGAGATCCTGCACCTTATGGTTCCCACAGCACTGCCCTGCAGAGCTTGGGCATGCCGTGTTATTTACATTTTAAGCAACACCTCTCAGGTACATTGGCTCTGTTAGATGTGAGGTCAGGGAGCAGCAGGAGAGCAAGGCTGAGAAGACCCCACTCACCTCCGTTGCTCAGGGTGTTGCCCCAGCCAGAGATGATACACTGGGTGCCAGCAGGGGCACAGGAGCTGGGCAGGGAGATGGCAGCCACGCGGCTGCTGAGCACGGCGGGGGAAGAGAGCTTGATGAGCATGATGTCATTGTCCAGGGTCCAGCTGCTGAAGCGGGGGTGGCGGATGACCTTGACGGAGTTGATGAACTGCTCGTTGCCCTCCTGGACCTTGATGTTGTGATCGCCCAGACGCACCTGGATGCGGCTGTAGGGAGGGAGCACAGTGAGTGGATTCCCAGTCCCTTCCCGCCTCTGCAATTCTCTGTGCCCAGGTGTGCGGTGACATGCACACACAGTCGAGTGCTGGCCACATGAGGGAACCCTAGAAACTTGTTCCTGGACCTGGGAGCTGAAGGGGTACTATGGGAGGTGACCTCTCAGTGGGCTTTTCCTCTTCCTGGTCCACCTTATTCCCCAAACCACACTGCCCAGAAGAGCTGCTGCAGGTACCAGCCTGTTCCCTTGTCCTCTGCCAAGGTAAAACGTGACCTGTGCTCTGCCCTGTCCTCCTTGACTGCTCATTCTGCAGATACAGATGCCAAGGATGGGGCTCAACCTAGCAATACCTTCAGAAACAGTTTCCAGCTTCAGAAATCCAGTCCTTAGTCCTACCAGTTTATTCCATGGAAGCTCCCATTTCAGAGGATGAAGGGGAGCAATATTATATTTCTCACCCTCCCCATTCTTGACTCTGCCGATGAGTGTGCTGTTCTTTGACCCAGTACAGATGAATGTGTGATATGGAATAGATGACTTTGTGACCTTGAACAGGTTCTTGTGCAATCTTGGTTTGGATTTTCTGTACTAGAGAGTCATCCCAGTTCTGCCTATCTATGTGCATTCCCAAGGAACAGAGAGAGACACACCCACAGCTATCAACTCTCAACCTGTAAAGTCTGTCACTGCATAAGCATTTAATGCAGCGGCCTAATCCAGACCATTTCCCAAATGCCTTCACTGACTGGCTGTCAAAGATTCTTGGTGGGAATCTTTACCTGCTTTCCCTATAAGCTTCACTTAGCATTCCTGCATTTTATTTATGATTTTCCCACCTGTTGCTGTTTTCTTATAAACTTGGTTTGTTGTGCTTATCCTCCAAATGTTCTCTCCTCTTTCTCCCAGTCTAGAAACTTGGCTACAAATGACAAACTCTCCCCCATCATTAACCCCATCTGCTCTCAGGCTCACCTCAGCTCCCCTGTAAGGACAACCTCTCAGTAGCCCCAGATGGCTTTGCATCACTTACGACTTGTAGCAGTGAGCAGCAGACACCACCCACTGGTCGTTGATGAGGGAACCACCGCAGAAGTGGTAGCCGGCATTCAGGGACACCTGGTAGGGAACGGATTTCTCCGGACAGGTGTATCCCCCAACGATCTTGTCATCGTCGTCAGTGGGGAAAGCAACTGAATGGAAACAGGAGAGGAGAAGCAATGAGTGGGATGTTTGGGCGTGTGGAGGCCCTCCCTGTGGCTGGATCGTGCTCATTAGGATGGCTTCCTGAGCACAGAGAAGACAGATAGGCAAGCAGCTCTCCTCCCCTGCCCAGTGTGTCCTTCAGGAATGAATCTATTTAGATGTGCAGGAAGTTTGCCAGGTACCCTATAGATTCTGGGTCTGACTGCTCCCAAAGGACCAGAACAGAAGCACACCTACCCATTGTAGGTGTGATCACTGTTTGATCACTGTGGGAGAGTAGCATTCTCTCGACTTCATGCTATTCTCTTCCTCATCACTGACTGTTCCCTCTCTTCTTTTGGCCTCAGATAGTTAGGACGTTTCTTCTAGTTTGAACCCAGGATATACCCAGATTTTTTATTGGCTCAACTCTCTATTGAAGTCAGGGAACAACCCCGGTTTGATAGGACATTTTATATCACTAAGGTAGGACTAGAATGGTAAACCATAAATTTAACTGCGACTGGGAATCTGAGGTCAGCTTAAAGAATTTATGCATAGACAATATTTCAAGTCTTTCTGTCTGAAGGTTTATTAAAAAGAGTATGAAGTGTGAGATTTTTCATAATCGCTAGTGCATCATAAATGAAGAGTGAATATATTTGACTAATCCACTGCAAAGATTCAGAAACTGAGCCTGCCTCAAGGAGAGTTTTCATTTTATATTGAATCGTTTTCTCCCTACATCTTACCTGCCCTGTTGAGAATGATCAACCAAACACTCCAAGTGGTTCACCAGGATTTTTGGTGGGAACAGTCAGAATTTAAG